TGGTGGCCCTCGAGCAGCAGCAGGGACACTCTCCTGCTGGGACACAGCCCTGGGCCTGACCATTCAGCCCAGCAGCTGTTCTAGAGTCCCCCTTGCGGATGGCATTCCCTAAGCTGGGCCAAAGCCCGGACTCTGGCAGCAAACCTGGGTGTGCAAGCAGTGTGCTGGCCAAGAGGATGGGGCAGCAGTTCTCTGCTGTCCGCCCCCAAAATCCTGGCACCCTAAAAGGAAAGGAGGACAAGGGACAGGCCTAGGGTCACTATGGGCGGGCATGCACCCTGCACAACTCGTGCAGGAGTTTGGGTCTAACCAGGGATTCCTTAAAAAGCTGATACAAGGTCTGGAAGATAGCACAGCAGTCTAAGCTCCTGCCTGGCAAGTGCAAGGACCTGGGTTCAATCCCTGGTACCACACGCTGGCCCCAAAATCCTGGGCGCACTGTGCCGCCACCATGCCTAAAATCCTAGTGCTGGGGAGGCTGAGGCAGGAGGATCACTATGAGTCTGAGTTGCATGGTAAGACCCTATACCAAATAAATAAATAAATAAATAAAAGATTAACAACAAAAGCTGACACAGCCAGGCAAGGTACTGTGGGAGGCTGAGGCAGGAGGATCACTATGAGTCTGAGTTGCATGGTAAGACCCTATACCAAATAAATAAATAAATAAATAAAAGATTAACAACAAAAGCTGACACAGCCAGGCAAGGTACTGTGGGAGGCTGAGGCAGGAGGATTGCAAATGTGATCCCAGCCGGGGCAATTTAGCCATCTAGATATCATTTTAGAGACAGTAACTTTGAGATTCCCCGGGGACACTGGAGTGAGCAAGGCCTAGTTCCTACCCTCACAAAGCAGTCTGGAGCTGGGTGTAGGTGAAAATCCTAGCACTTGGGAGGCTGAAGCAGGAAGGTCACAAATTTGAGTCTCATCTGAGCAACTTAGCAGGACCCAGGCTCAAAAATCAAGAGGGGGGAGGGGGCCAGGGAGATGGCTCAGTGGAATAAGTGCTTCCCTGGCAAGCGCAAGGGCCTGAGTTCAATCCCCGGTTCTGCCAAAAAGAAAAAAAAAAAAGGGAGGCTGGGGCTATAGCTCAGCTCAGCTGGGGGAGTCGCATTGGGCTGGCCTAGTAGTGCCACAGCGCAGGGTCCCCAGGATGTGTACTCTGAGGGAGGCCTGGCTGGTCCTGGACCTCATCTTCCTGGACCAGAGGCAGCTAGGAAAAGGCTCAGAGGGCGCAGCAGGCGGGGCTGTGTCCTGGCTGGACAGATGGGCTGGGAAGCAGGCCAAGGCCCTGTCACCAGGGTGAGCCAACAGCTACACCAGAAACTTGGGGAGCAGGGGGTGCCTCAGAATCCCTGAACTGGCAGTGACCAGGGCAAAGAGACCAGGGAATGTGGAGAGGGTGGGCGGGAAGGAGCACTGGCTGCCCTAGGAGAGAATGGAGGTGGAGGGCTGGGAAAGCAAGGACTGCACTGGGTGGGGGCAGGAACTACTACCGCTGTGGTTCCAGCCTCAGCGCAAGACCCTTCCACCCTCTCCAGCAGCAGCTGTACGCCCTGCTGGGCCGAGCAAGGCACCCCCTGCTGGAGCCAGCCTCCCTCAGGCTGCATGGTGGGGTTGTTTTTTTTTGTTGTTTTGTTTTTTTGTCTTTTTGAGACAGAGTCTGGCTTCACTGTTCAGACTGACCTTGAGCTCACTTTGTAGCCCAAGCTGGACTCAAAGTCACAGTTATCCTGCCTCAGCCTCCAGAGTGCTGGGATCACAGGCGTGCGCCACCAGGCCTGGCTCTTGTTTGTTTATTGCGCTAGGGATGCAACCCAGGGCCCCAGCACCGAGCCACATCTTCGGCCTTTTCTTTTCTCAGACAAGGTCTCATGCAGTCACGAAGTCGCCTGGGCTGTGCCTGAGCTTGCTGCAGTCCTCCTGCCTCAGCCTCCAGGGTGCTGGGATGACAGGTGTGTGCCACCACGAACCGCTCTTGTCCTCTGGTACAGGCAAAGGAAACGGGGCACAGGGAGGTACGACAACGGACTCTGGGTCACACAGGGCAGAAGAACAGCAGCAGAGCTTGAGAACATGGGGCGAGGCCCCCTGTGGCGCCCCTGGGCACTTCTAGTTGCTGTTGTCTTTGGTTTTTTGTTTTTGTTTTTTTTTTTTTTCAACACATAATACACTGCATATATTCTTCTTAGTGGTTAATTGCTGTACAAGATGCGGACTTGTGATCCTATTTACAAACTCCATTAGAACAAATCATTCTATTCATTAACAGAATGTAACAATATATCTATCCCAACCACTTTGAATACACAGATATTGCTGTTGTCTTTGGATCCAGCCTATGTGAGCAGGAGAGAGAAGGGGGATGTAACTCAGTGGCTGTTAAAAGACAAAACGGGCTGGTGAGATAACTCAGCAAAGTACCTGCTTAGGTGAGCTTAGGCAAGCACAGGGACCACATGCTGTGCCTGCTGGACCCCAGCCAAGCACGGCCTCCTGCCCGAGGCCAGAAGTGCTCTTCTCTCCAGCAGCTCCGGGAGCAGGCGGCTGTTTAAAGGCCAGATGTTGGGTCCCGAGGCAGCAGCTGGTTCCCCACCCACTCCACGCTGGCAGTGGAGGGAGTCCCAGGTGTGCTGGGCCGAGCCCTCAGCAGACACAGGGACCCTAGGTGGAGGATACGGGAAGAGGCCCTCGAGATGGGACAGGGTGGCACGGACCCAGCTGTGTGGCACCAGGCCCTGCCTTACCTTCTCCGTCTCCATAGGGAGACATCTTGTCCCCGGAAACCAGCATGGCCTTGGCTAGAAATTTTCCCTGGCCTGCTGCACTTGGGAAGAGCCCTGGCCTCTCTGCACTAAGAAATCAGTCCAGGGGAGTCCAAAATGAAGTTAACAGCCAGGCATGGTGGTGCACGCCTGGAATGCCAGCAGTGGGGAGGCTGATGCAGGAGGATTGCTGTGAGTTCGAGACCAACCTAGGCAACAAAGTGAGCTCAAGGCCAGCCTGAACTGTGTAGCAAGACCCTGTCTCAGAAAGACAAAAAGCAAACACACATGCGCACATGTGCGTGTGTGCACGCACACACACACACACACACACAATGAAGTTATCTGGGCACGGAAGTGCAGGGGGCTGAGACAAGAGGGCTGCCAACTGCCTACCTCATCTGAGGATGAGGAGGAGCCGAGGCCTGCAGCCACCAAAGTGAGGCTAAAGGGATTCAGAACCAGGCCTGGGCAGCCACAGAATAACCCGGGGACACACTGAGCCAGCCACATGTCCCCTTCACTGCCTTTGGCCTGCTCAGGAGGCCCAGGCCCAGAAGGCAACAGAGGATGAAGGTTTGGCAGAGCACACCAGGGCTAGTGGGGTGAAGAGCTTTATGGAGAGAGTTTTCACTGTGCGACCCAGGATGGCCTCAAGCTCACGGCAACCCTACTGCCTCGGCCCCGAGTGCTGGGGTGGCAGGCCGTGCACTGCCATATCCGGAAGACCAGGTTAAAGATTTGAAGGGAATTTTGCCTATGGGTGAGCTAGGGCCTTCATCTTTCCAGTCAAGCAGTGAACCAGGTGAGTGTGAGCAGGGCCAGCCCTAGCAGGCACCACAGGCCCCCTGTGCCAGGCGGCTGGCAGGCAGGCAGGCAGGCAGGTGGCCAGGGCTGCTGGGGTCCCGGGACCTCAGTGCTCCTCCTGTGGCCCCAGCCTAGGAGCAGCGGAACCTGCGTAACAGCTGGTGACTGGGCAAAGATGTCAGAGCAGCAAAGGCGGACAGGTGGCCCCAGTGCAGGTGGTGACCGGGAGGGCAGAGGCGGCAGAGGCTGCAGAGGACAAGGGACCCACAGCGGCTCCCCAGGCTGAGGTCCCCTTGCCTGCCCTGCTCAGATCGGTTTCCTGACACTGATCTTTCTCCTTCCTCGATTCCTGGACTACTTCTTCCGGCCGATTCTCCCAAAACGAGGTGACCAGGCAAAGATTGGGGACGCGGCCGCTGACATTAATTGATAGGAGCGGCTCGGAGCAGCTCCTGCGGCCTTATCTCTGCCTCCTCCGGGCCGGCGTGTGTCCCCACGTCCAGACGGTGATTAATAGGGGCCATCACTCACCAGGCCGGACGGCTGAAAGGCAGCGGGGAGGGGCGGCCCTCCCCAGAACTGAGATAACAAGCAGCAGGAATAATGAGCGGTGTCACTCCACTTTTCATTTTGATGGAAAGTCATTACGGGAGTCAACGCTGGCGACAAAGAGCCATGAATCAACTGCTCTGCTATGAAATTAAAATCGAATTGCTAGCCACCCCCAGCCCCTGTCCTTCCCGGGAAATGGGATGGGTAGGTGGCCTGGAGGGGGTGCCATCCCAGCAGGAAGTGGACAGGCAGCCAGCAAAGGTGACAAGACCTGTCCACACCTTGTCTGTCAGCCTCCTCCTTTTGAGATCCATCCCCTCAGCCTGTGGGGAAGCTGGGATTAAGGACAAAAAATGGCCTCTAGGATCTGTGGGGGCTGCGGGCAGGAGGGGGCACCAGGGACCCAGAGCTCCTGGCCTGAGCCATCTGCGGATACACATAGGATCCCTGTAACACCAGAATCACAGAGAAAAGAGCCTGATCTGGGCTCCACAGGGACAGCTGGTGGCCCCAGGAAGCTACATGGATCAGGAACCCACACGAGCGGGCTCCCCGCTGCAGCTGCCAGCTCAGGGAAGTGGAGCAGTGAGTGTAAGAAACCTTGTGCAGGGGCTGGGGAGATGGCTCAGTGGAATAAGCGCTTGCCTGGCAAGCACAGGGGCCTGAGTTCAATCCCCAGTTCCACCAAAAAAAAAAAAAAAAGAAACCTTGTGCAAGCCAAGCACGGGCCGCACACGTGGCATTCCAGGACTCAGGAGGCCGAGGCAGAAAGCTTCCCACCAGTTTGAGGCCAGCCTGAGCTACACGTAACATAAAGGAAAGGAAGTATCAGCAACACAGTGAGAGCCTTTTCTTCTTTTATTAGGTCCAAGAAGCGGCGGTCCACTGCGGCAGAGCCAATCTTGAGAGCTCCTAGGGTGGAGGCGTGGTGGCCATCAGGTGACGGCTCCCACCTGTCCCTCTCTGGGCTCCAGGTAGCCAGGCGCTAGCTGGGAAGGCTCCGACATCAGCTTCCACTCTTCATGCAGTGACTGCTGGGCACCCAGTTCAGAGGGAGGTCCCCAGCAGGTTGACGGGGCGCCCACCATACCGCTTCGAGATGTCGGCTTCAATCTGCGGGACAGGGAGGCGGTGAGCGGAACAGAAGCAGTGCCAGGTGGGCCGGGCACCTCCGCTCCCAGTGCCCTCACCAGCTGTTGCAGCTCCCGGGTCTTTGCTAACAGCAGGTCCAGCTTGGGCTCCAGGGCCGCCTGCTCCTGCAGCGCCTCCTGCTGCTTCTGCGCCATCAGCTCCTTCTTGACGGCCAGCAGCTGGGACTGCTTCAGCTTCTGCTGTAGGAGCTCCGTCACTCGGTCCACGTACCTGCACAGCGCTTGGGTCAGGGCTGGACACAGAAACCCGGGGACCCAATCCCCTAGCTGGCCTCTACTGTAAGGCCTTTGGGATGAGGTACAGTGCTTCCAGGTACCCCACAGTACTTGCCCTCACTTCTGGTTTTTTTTTTTTTTTTTTTTTTGAGCAGGGAAAGAGTCTCGCTATGCAGTCCAGGCTGGTCTGAACTTACTATGTACCCCACACTGGCCCCCAAACTCAGGGTGATCCTCCTGCCTCAGGCTCCCAAGGAATGAGATTGTAGGTGTGGGCTGCCCTGCCTGGCAACCTCTGTCCTCCTGCCTGCATGACCGAATCACCTGATCCTGCCCGGAAGCAGAGCCCTATGCTCAGGATGAGGTAAGGCTGGAAAAACAGAGATGAGCTGAGGGGTCACAGAGAAGAGGAGTCAGAGCCCGACCTCGGGGAGGCCAGGATCATGAACAGGTGCTGCATCTGCAGGCTGGTGAGCCGGCCAATCAGCTCCTGCAGCGTGGACGCCATGGCAACCATCTTCTCCTGGGTCTGGCCCTGCAGGATGGCAGGGGCCAGCTGGAACTGGCTCACAGACAGGATGTCAGCCTCCTCGCCCATCTCCACTGCTCTCTGGGACAGGAAGATCTCAAGCTGCAGGCAGAGAAGAGGGTGGTCCAGGCCAGGAACGGAATTCAGAGAAACATACCCTCCAACCACTCGTATGTGAGGGCTGCACTCTGGTTTGGTGAGGCACCTCCCCTGGATGCTGTCATTGCTAGGAACTCAACAGCTGCAATGCAAGAGCAGGGGACACAGCCTGGTGTGGTGGCGCACACCTGCAGTCCCAGCACTTAGGAGGCTGAGGCAGGAGGCTCATCATGAGCTCAAGGTCAGCCTGGGCTACCTAGGGAGATCCTCTGTCTAGAAAGCACTTAAGCCCTTAAGTCCTGCTCTCTGCTGATATGGGAGGAGCTTCACTGTCAGAAAATCAAAAGTGGACTGAGACCTGTTGGGGCTCCCCCAGCCAGCACGCCACAGTGCTAGCTCTGCAATCCAGAGCGCTGATTCCTTACTCACGGCTGCCCTTAGACACAGGATGCAATTTCACCATCTGTGAGGTCTAACCCACTCAGAACAACAGCTTCCTGGTGCAGAGTCACCAGGGACTGATTCACCTCTCTGGCCCCTTCTGCTCCCTGTGCCTGAGCCACAGCCTCCCCAGCACCGTCTCAAGGGGGTTGGGGGACTCTGTCTCAAGGGCCACTCAGCCTCAGGCACCTGAGACCAGCAGCTGCAGCTGTACCTCCATGAGCTCGTCGATGAGCTGACTCCGGGTCTCGGGGTACTCGAGCAGGCTCAGGGCGTCTGGGCCCCTCGCTACACCTTCCGGGGCTGTTGGGAAAGGCTAGAGGTGAGGGAGGGAGAGGGACAGGGAAGGGATCTCTGGTTTCTGTCAGTTTTTGAGACAGAGTCTCGCTATGCGGCTCAGGCTGGCCTTGAGTTCACTTTGTAGCCCCAGCTGGTCTTGAACTGGCGATCCTCCTGCCTCAGTCCTCTAAGTGCTGGGATTACAGGCATGTGCCACCATGCCCCTGGGGTCTGTTTTTCTCCCTCAATCTAGAAAGGCCCTGGGAGCACTCCCGGGAAGGTGGCCCAGTGAGGCACCCTGCTGTCCCCAGCCTGCCAGGGCCACAGCACTGAGTTCCAAGGGGCAGTAGGCTGGCCACTGGCAGGCGGCAGCAGGAGGTAAAGTGCTCCTGCACTGCCCTCTAGTGGCTCATGCCGCTCTGACAGCCTTTCCACACCCAAAGGCCCTGGCACCCACGTCTGCACTCACCCTCGGTCCCTGCTTCCACCACCGTGATCTGCAGAGCAGCACTGGGGTCGCCCCAGTCTATCCCGTCACCCGCAGCTTCCTGCATGGACAGCAACAGACCCGGCGAAGTTGGGAGAATTCCGGCCTGGGGAGCCGGCACAACAGAGCCTCCACGAGGCTCAAGGTCTCCTCTGCGCACAGCAAGTTCTGCAGCCCTGGCAGTGACAGAGGTGCCAGTGCAGGCCTGGTCTTGCTGCCATCCCCATCCCTGCTGGTCAGGCTCTACCTCACACCAAACCGCAGGTCAAAGAAGACACGGTCTCACTGCAGTTCACACAGGGCTTGAATGCACTGTGCAGCCCAGGCTGGCTTCCAGCTCCTGGCGGTCCTCCTGCCTCAGCCTACCCAGTCTGGGATCACAGGTGTGCGTCCCCGGGCCCAGCTGTCCATCTCTTTTGAACTTGGAATGACTTCTCCAAACACAGACCACGCTTTCTACAGCTGAAGGGAAACCCAGGGCTCCCTGAGGGCATCCTAACCTTGGACTCTGGGTCCAGGGAGATGCCCCAGTCGATGCCAGTGGCCTCAGCAGAGATACCAGGTTCAGACTCCACCCCAAAGTCGCCCCAGTCGATCTGAAAGGGGAACACGTTGGCTCCAGTCAGGGGGGGAAGCAGAGGCAAGCCCAGGCCCCATAGGCTCAGCTGCTCCTGTAGGGAGCAGGCGGTCAGCACCGGGACCACCTTCAGGGTCCTCATGCCACCCAGGTCTGCCTCACCCTCTTGCCGTGCTGGTCTCAGGGCCAAGAACCAGGCCTCCACTGCTGGGGGTGAGGATCAGCCAGGCCTGGGCCATCGAGCAAGGTCACTGAGTCACCTGCCCTGGGCTGGGAAGCCGACCTTACCGCGTCCGCCTCCACCGGCTCAGGAGGCTCCTCGAGGCGCGGTCGCTCCACCACAGTTGGCTCCGTCCCCGTCCTCCACTCATACACGGTCGCGTCTCCCCGCCGTTGCACGAACCGCAGCATGGGCAGCACCTGCTCCGCTGGGCTACAGAGAGCACAAGAGCAAACTCTTGGCCCGGGCACATGGCCAGTTGGGCGAGGCTCCAGGCCCAGCCAGCAGAGCACAGCCAAAGGAAAACGCAAGTGAAGGCCAGGGGTGGTGGCGCACACTTGTCACCCTGGCACTCGGGAGGCTGCGGCAGGAGGATCACCATGAGTCTGAGGCCAGTCTGGACTACACTGAGAGATGTTGTCTCATGACAAAGTAAAACACAAATGCAGAGGAGAGGGAGGCGGGAGAAGGGGAGTCACCAGCCTGCGGGGCCCTGTACCTCTCACACACAAAGTCCACAAAGGCCTGGTACAGCTCAATAGCTTCACCCAGGGACTGCGCCCCTGCCCCGATCTCGGCCAGCTGGCTCGGCAGGTCCTTCACCAGGGCCAGCAGCTCTCTTCGGACGTTGTCTCCCTAGTCACAGGGACAGGAGGAAGAACCAGATCATGTGGCGGGAGGCAGCGCCCACAGGGGCAGGGCACCCTCCCCCACTCCGCGCCATCGCGCATGCGTACTGTGATGCCGTACTGCTTGCACGCGAGCCGGAAGTGCTCCAGCTGCGCCGCCACCCCCGCCTGGCCCTCCTCCTCCTTGCGGCTGCACTCGCGCTGAAGCTGCTGGCACTTGGCGATCTGCTTCTTTAGCGAGGGCAGCTCGTAGTTGATGTTGCGAACCAGGAGGCTGCAGAGCTCCACTGCAGGGGCCCAGGAGGTTCGCTTGGGCCTGGCACCCTGAGGCCAGCCCGCCCTAGATGCCCCAGCCTGGAGCCCTCAGCCAGGTGAAGGGGACAGTAATGGCTATCTCATGGGTCCACCGACACACCAGGCACAGTCCTTCCATTGAGGTGCTTGGGAACTCTTTAACGATTATCATTATGACTTTTTTTGTGCTTTTGTGTTTTGAGAGATCTCGCTATGTAGGTCAGGTTGGCCTCCTCTCGCAGCGATCCCCCTATGATCTTGGCCTCCCAAATGCCGGCATGATGGGCCGGCGTCACTATGCAGGCTTGGAATTGGTTTACTCAGCTATGAAGAGGCCGGATCTACATTCCACCCCTTCCCACACTGCCTTCGCCTCCTATAAGCCCAGTGTCTAGCAACACGGGGAGAGGATCTCCCAGGGACGCCAGGGGCTACTTGAGGGTCAATTTACCTAAGTAGGTGTTGTCCTTCTCGTACAGGGAGACGATCTCTTGCCAGTCCTGAGAATGGAAGATCAGCCAGAAATGCTGGCCGCAGTCACCAGGAAGCTAAGTCCCGCAGCGGGAGGCTCTGCCCGCCCCCACAGGCCCGCCTCCAGCTCCCGGCGCTGGCGGCTGCGCACACTGAGCGTGGCCCCGGGTGTGCTGCTGCATCTCTGCAATCCCAGGTACTGGGGAGGCTGAGGCGGAGGAGCGGACATTCGAGGCCAGCCTGGGCAACTTAGCAAGACCCTGCCTCAGAAGAACAAAAGGAATCATCTAGGCCCAGAAGCAGTGCATGTCTGTGACCCAAACACGTGGGAAGCTGAGGCAGGAGGATCAAAAGCTTGAGGCCAGCTTGGGATCCCAGCAAGACCCTGTCTCAGAGGGCCGCGGTGAGATAGGTCAGCGGACTAAGCGCCCACTTAGGCAAGTGCACCATATGCCACGCCTGCCCTGGCTCCAGCCCCACCCCTGGGCACCAAGTAGGGGCGTGGTAGCATCACCAGTAACCCCAGTTCTGAAGAGGCTGAAAACAGGAGAATCACTACGAGTCCGAGCTGCGTAGTGAGACCCTGTACCAAACACATTAAGAAAACAGAAGACACTGTAACCAAAGGCTGGGGACACAACTCGGCACTCCCTGGGCTCGACTCTCAACCCCTAAAAACAGAAGTGTGCATCTCTACCTGGCCCTGGAGACCACGGGCAGTGACCCACGGATGAGATGTTCCCAGCCACGCCGTGCCATCACACTCACCTTCATCCTCTGGGAAGAGTACCGGCCAAATATGTTCTTTGTGGAGGCCTCAGTGCCCTTAAGAAGGTCTACAATCCTCAGGCAGTGGAAGTAGTGAATGTAGGAGCCAGACAGCAGCTGGGCAATCTCCTCGCT